TTTTATATTTGTCACCATTTCTTTTTTTCCTTCTTTACTTACTTCTTTATTTTCTCTTTAGTCGCACAGAAAAAGATTCTCCCATACTTTTTCTTTCTTTCCTATTCATTTATTTTTTACTTTCTTTAAAAGTATTATTAAAACTTAGCTTAAACTCATCGACAGACTATTGTGTTTTCCTTCAATATTAATAACAACTTTTTTTAAATTTTATTTTATTTTTTTATTTATTTCTTCCTGTATTAATAAAATATATATCTCATAATTTGAGATTATTTACATATTTACATTTATACAATGTACATCATGTCTTGAGATGAGTCACCAACCATTGTTGGTCTCCTAGAATAAGCAAATAATAAATAAATAAATAAAACAATCCACAAGGTCACAATAAAATATACGAAGATTCTATCGATGGCGATAGTAAAAAGAAGATACTTTTTTGACGTGAAAACCCACTGAAAAAAAAACATATGAACAAAAAATTAGAAAAGAAAAAAAGAAGCGAGGAAGTAAAAAGAGGAGAGAAAAGAAAAAAGCATATAGGCAAAAAAACATGGAATGTAGCGGGATATGATTAAATACAAAAATACATTACGGGGAAAAAGAATAGTAAAAGATTTGAAACAACGAAAAGTCATATAAAACAAGGAAGCAGAACGAGAGAATTAGGAAATGAAAGACTTGAGTAAAGAATAAAGAAGTAAGAGAATAAGAAAAAACGAAATAAAGCAAGGTAGAACGAAATGTATATACATCAGAAATCTCAAAAACGGCGCTTCGCAATGTTAAACCTGCACGACCGATCCGTCATGTAGGGTTTTAATCTATTCAAGCGCCTTGCTATGCAGAAATTCGTGCTTTGCACTCGACATTTTCTTTGCTGTTTTCTCTATATCCGCCTAAAAATATAGTAAGCTTAAAAAATCTACTAATAAAATGGATACATTTGAAATGTTGGCTAAATCCATCAAACGGCCCTTTTGTAATTAACGACTTTTACCTACAATTAAACCATATAAAAGTTTGAAACAGATAAATTTAAAGGCTTGTAAATTATCCTCAGCAACCCCCGCTCGCTGTCAAGCAGCCTAAACTTCAGACAGATCCCCTTCACATAACAAATATATTGAGACTGAAGTAAACCTTGCCGGAACGTCAAAAGTTTACGTTCAGCAAGGTGAAAATTGTAAACTGCGCCTGATAAATCCCAGTGTTAGACTTAGCGTTTAACGTTTTCGGGTTCATTGAAACTTGCCTAGGTCAAAACTACAGATTTAAAAGCAAAGTAATATGAAAAATTAGTCTGATTATCTATATGTTGTGGTTTTTTTTGGATTTATTTGTTATTCATTGATCTATTTATCGTTCGTCCTATCTTATTATATTTTCTATTCATAATAACGCCTAATTTTATATTAAAATACAATTAGGAATTGGGAGATTTATCGACCATCGGCCATTCCAGCACTTTTCTTAATTATATCTCTTCATCTCTCTCTCTCACACACACACTCTCTCTATCGCTCTATCGCTCTCTCTCTCTCTCTCTCTCTCTCTCTCTCTCACATTTCTTTGTGTGTGTGTGTGTGTGTGTGTGTGTGTGTGTGTGTGTGTGTGTGTGTGTGTAAATGCGAGATTAATTTTTATCGTTTCTTTCGGAATGTAATTGAAATGAAACTTACTTCAAAAATTTAGTATTGTCAAAATAACCGGACACGACAGAAATACAGGTACAAGACCTCACCATATCTTAAGAGAACCTTAAAATCTCAATGTCATATTTTTTACTACGTGAAGTATATTTGGATATACAAAACCTTTGTTTAAAGTTTTCCATTCAATCAGCACGCTTTAAACGGCAAATTCGGTCAGTAAAATCCTTTCCTAAAGAGTAACTGCTATTTTTCTCTGTCCTGTAGCCAGTATTAAAAAGAAACTTAAAAGCAATAGGGCTTAGAGTCAAGTGCTGGTTAGAGTTAGTGCCCGCCCCGAGTAAACATTCTTAATCCGTTTACGACTTGGTGATTGCAGTCTGACACAAACGCACACGCACACGCACAAGCACTTGACATGTTATTTACCCGTATAATTGGAGTTTCCACGCTCATGTTGGAATCCCCGCTGCGAGTGGAATCTTGGCTTTACAAATTTTCAAGAGAAATCTAATAATAATTTAATCTCGGCATTTATTTTAATAATGAATATCTCTTTATTTAACTGGTTCACGTTTTAACGTCTAACCCAGCTGCATTCGGTACAAGCTCTTCTCATATACAAAGAGCCATGTAATAATCGTTGTAGTGTTGTGTAAATTAATTATGCACAGGACGAATGAAACAACCAGAACATCATTATCAAAAAAGGAAATTTCTCCCTCGTACACATGTATATATACAAATTTTGCAACAAAGAACACTACTCGAACTGTGCTTTCTCTTTTCTAAAAATTTTCTCATTCTTTTAGAACGTTTTAGTAAATATTGTGTCAATAAATTCGCTCTTATTTAACAGAATCAGCGTATGAACTATTTTCATAATAGATTCCAAAATTGGAGAGAACGAAGAATTTGTAGGAAAATTTTAAAATGTTTTTTTTATTTACGTAGTATTATTTTTATTATTTTTAACAGCAGTTTCAAATTAATGATGATTTGATGACTTTGTAACTGAAAAATCAAATTTTTAGCTACTTAACATTAATTTTACATTAATGATAACTGACCTTTGAGAAATTAAGTACATGCATTTATTGCTCATTAGTAAGGGTAACTTTTCCGTGAGCGCCCTATCTGTTAATATTGACAAAACAAAGAAAATCTTATTTAAGCTTTGGAACGATCTTTGGAAACTCGTTAAAGTGCATTTGTATTTTGTTTGTTCAAGGATACAAAAAGAACAAAAAAAAATTTCATTGGGTTTTCGATGATCTTTACATTATTAAAGTATAATTTACAGTAGGACGAACATTTTATGAGTTAAGGCGGACACAGGACGAAATATTTTGGATATAATTGAGGATCGCACTTTGGACAATATTGGAATTTTGTTAGTCCAGTTTGACATGTAGGATGACTTACTGAATTGAATGTTTGTTACAGGACATCAGTAAATTCTTTAAGATTGGCTTTCGTTTAATGTCCTGTAACAAACATTCAATTCAGTAAGTCATCCTACATGTCAAACTGGACTATACTTGTCAAACTGGATATATATATATATATATATATATATATATTTCTCAAGGTGAAAATATGTGAGCTTATGTTTGTCGTCAGGTGTGTTTTCTCGCATTATTTGCTTAACGCAGCTGCTAAGCATATCTGATCCTTAATTAAGCCTTGTGTCGCATCGGTTTTGATAATAGCCGAAATGATGTTTTAGTATTTATAACTCTGACAGATATTTTTTATTATTTGAATATGTTTATTTGATTTTATAATCGACAACGTTGTTTTTTAATTTTGAAAACCATTTTAAAAACGTGCCATACCCGCGGCTACTAAAACTCTCGGAAGCGAAACTTTAATAAACTTCTTCAGAAGTGTCTTCAAAACACAAATGAAGCCACCATTCCGTACCACTTGGCGAAGAAAAGCGTGAAATTGAAAATTAAAACTACCCCGGCATTCCCTTTAAGTTTCGAACAGTATCCGGTCGAGCGATGAAAATTGTTTCTTGTATAAAACTTTTCTCCGCCGCTACCCCACCCCCAGGCATTTAGTAAGTTGTGACCAATTTGTGGTGAGTTGTGCCGAGAAATGGTATGTTCCTGACAAGCTTTGCTGATAATTCTCCGCCCTCGGGATCCGAGCGTTCGTCCCTTCCAAAACCCCGCCGTTTCCGCCCCGCCAATGCCGTCCCCGAACACCGCCAAGGATACAAGTAATTACAGAAAGATACAAACCACGGGCTCGTGAAATCGGGAGCAGTCTTATCACCAGAAAACTGTAATTAGCGGTTATTTTATCTTTCCCGGGGTGAGACTTAATGTTCCTCCCGCTCCTGCCAAGCTGTTTTACCTGGGATGCTTTATTCTTATCAGACAACCAGATTACAAGGAAAATTAACGATTCATTTAACTTTTGGTATCAGGGTTAATAAGGCTAAAGTCTTTAAAAAAAAGAATGTTTATTATATTGTAACTCTGGTCGTCGTAAAATCACCCAATCAGCTAAATGAGACCCTTCAAATATCATATTTAACATCACAGATAACACATATAACATAAAAGATACATTTCATTTCATTAACAAAATTAATAATATTCACATCCCCTCACACTACTCCCTCATATCCATAGATGTTTCATCATTGTTCACCAACATTCCAATAGACACAACACTGAACATTATTAAAGATAAATGGCCCAACATAACACCACACACGAATCTATAATATTTTTACATAGCCTGACTGGTTAATGGCTGGTGTTGGTCTGAGAGTTGTTCATAGAAAACATATGTTAAAACAAAAAGAGAACAGAACTGGATCATAAATACATACAACCATGCTGTCTCTTGAGAAGGAACTCCCATGTCAATCCAGAATAAAATCTTAATTTATACGGCATGAAAAATGTAAAGTTTAGTTTGAATTTGAACATCAGTGGGAGCATACTAGTATAATTATAATAATCCACGTAATATTGATAGTCCATTTGTAATAAAAGAATTTTTTTTAAATATTAAATAGATTGATAAAAACAAAAACAAATTAAAGATACCACAGCAAACATGCTTTTCTATATCATTAAACTAACCCACTTTTATCCACTAATATAAAAAATTATTCGACCTAAAACATATGCGTCCTAATGGTTTTTAAAGTTGGCAATTATTTAACTATTAACTGAAAATAAACAGGAGGAAGCGGATGTATGCACAGGATGCAAGCTTTTGTTAATATGTCATGGTCGGGTTTGGCAAAAAAGTCAACCCAAAAAAAAACGAAAAGGACAAATTGAATATGGTATAAAAAGACAGCGGGAACAGTTAATATGAAACAGGCCGAAATGAGGTTCCTGCTCTTCGCCAGTTTGATCATTTTAGCCGTAGTGGTGAGTCGCCGTTACGTAGCGATACTTTTTTTCGACCTGAAAAAACACTGGGCATATATATATTTTTTATAGAATTCATTACCACTGTGTATCTAACCAAATGTGCCTTTTTAAAGCAACCCTTTTTCTACTTTTTGTATGTTGAACTAGAAAAAATATTGGATTCCTGAATAACTGGGATGGGTTTTATGTAAACAGAGCCGAGATTAAAGTGGTGCATATCAGGACATAAAAAAAGTAGGTTGCATTTCTCATAAAAACTCGCTCTCTCGTATATTGCATAAAACCTCCATTTATTATTATTGCTCCCCTTTTATTTCTCCATTAATTTATTTAATCGATAATTTTGCCCAAAATATATAACACTATGTCAATTCTTTAAATATTACAATATTATTTATTAGGAATTAGGCTTTACCACATAAAATACAAACTGTTATACTATATTTTCATCACCAATTTTTAAACCATAGATTGCAACCTTAATCAACCTAAGCATAGTTTTACTCCCATAGTTTATTAATAATCATAGCTAGCATGTTCTAATAATAGTAATCCTGACTAAAATTTTACTTCCAGACAACTAAAGTATGGGCGGAGGACGAAGCAACAAGCGAAAAGCCTGCGATTGTTCCTCCCTGCTTTATGTTTCACGTGGCAACAACAGCACAAGCATCATCACAATCTGCCCCAGCACCAACGCCTTCGAAAGAAATGGCTACTCCGTCAATGAAAAAATAAAATTTACTCCAAAAAAGATATTTATCACTTAAAAATAACACTTAAGTAAAAATCACGTTAACACAATTAATAATATTCTTTACTTTAATATCTTTTATTCTTTAAGAAAAGAAGTAATTTTTGAAAATTCGAATCCTGATATTTTGTTAATAAGATGTTAAATTGCAATGATAAAGACGTTAATTACGTGCCAAGTGGTAATGTCTTTAATAACAGTTCCCTTCCTTCCTATTTTCAAAGAGCTTTACGTAATGAACACTCCCTCGTTACAGTTATCAGTTACCTATAAAGTTTTAAGTGAGATTTCAAGATTCGCTTTCTGCAATAATTAAACCTCAGTTAAGTAATTTTCCCCTTTCCCATTTTATTTTATTTAAGACTTCATAAGATTATATAAATAAATAAATTATATATATATAATTTATTTACATATTTTGTGGAATTGGGAAATAGTAAAATTAACTAAGTAAACTTCTTTTCTTCGTTTTCTCTCTCTCTCTCTCTCTCTCTCTCTCTCTCTCTCTCTCTCTCTCTCTCTCTCTCTCTCTCTTTCTCTCTCTCTCTCTATATCTATCTATCTATCTATATATCTATCTATCTATCGATCTATCTATCGATCTATCTATCGATCGATCTATCTATCTATCTATCTATCTTCCTCCCTGCCGTACTTCTCTTTCCATTTCTTCTCTTCTTTTCCCTTCACTTCTTTTCTTTTTTTAACCTTTACCTACTTAATTTTTCATTAGTTATTGCATTCAATCTAGTTAATATTCATCTCATTTATCTCATCCAACAAACAGCAAGACCTTAGTTGTCTCTTATTATGTGTTTTCGCATTTCTGCATTATTCTCCTATGCATTTTTTAATGTATTTTTCATCTTCGTTGATCTTGGACACATACCCTTCATGTATAATCACATCAACATATCATTCATACCAAATCAAGCATACCTTAACTTTGATTACCAGCCGCCACGGCACTCTATGTCACGATGTTAATCATCATTCACACAAAATCTATAGCCTTAAAAACCTTACATACCCATACATCCAGCTTTATAAATACAGTTATTCATTAATCTTTCACACTAATATGTATATACATATTAAACTATTTCCGATTGAAAACTTGCGTCATCGGGGTGCGCAAATTCCACTAATTGGTAATAACTACAATCTAGGTAACAGGCCATCGAGGTATTCCGATGCGTTTTTGCGGGGTCGTCGCAGCCCTTTTTGCCGCGTTGTCCGCATTTTTATTTCCCAGGTTGCCGACATGTCCCTGTATCCAGCTAAATATGACTTTGCAGATTCGATCCAGCATGTCTACTTTTCATAGATTGTTTATATGATCGGGTCTGGAGAGAAATTATTTTTTAATGCTGAGATCTAGATAACTGCGTAAGTACAAATCACATTTTTTCCATCTAATTTTTCTAATTCGCTCATCGTAAACATATGACGGTCATTTCTGCCGTGTATATCCTTGCTATATTTGAGAGAGAAATTCCTAATTGATTTCCCTCAAAGTACACACCTCAGCCGACCCCCATCACTCTTTGATCCATCAATATAGATAAACTTAATATTCCTCGTGATAAATGTATGGAGGTTCTCTTCTTTCTTACCGCCATCTTGGGAGAATCCATGGTTCTATAAGTGTTTCCCTAAATCGTATGACTTTATCCACGACTGCTCTCCGCACATCCTATGTTTCTTTTAACCTTATCGCTAATGGCCTTGTGCGGATTCTCAACATATCATATTTTGTTAATAACTCGGCGTCAAATAGGATATCATGCAGGCAATGTTTTTGTTCTAGTCCATATACTCACGCAGTTGCGTTCTTTTTTTCGCCAGATTTTTACTCTAGCTTCTACGCAGGGCTGGGCCTAAATGCACGGGTTGATATTCTTAAACCTGCAATATACATATATATATATATAGTNATATATACTTCTGATTTTTTAAATAGACTTTTCCTTTCCGTGCTATACTGTACATCCAAAATTCAATTTCGTGCATAGCAACGATTTGAATATCTGTAGTTTCCCTTGCAGCTCCCCATCTAAAATTATTTATTATAATTTCATTAACTTACAGATTTTTTTACACTGAACTACAGTTTTTCTTATATATGGATGTCATCTTAATTTAGAATCGAATGTGAGCCCAAGATATCTGATATTTTGAACATATTCGAGGGCGACATCTTTTATCCTAAGAGGAGCATCACAATGTTTGCTCCTTAGTCTACAAAAATGTTTAGCTTTTATCTTGGCCCTCGAAAACCTGTGTCTGTGTCCTCGACCACCTCGGCAATCGTAGTAATGTCGTTTCGCAGTTTCCAACCTCTTTTAAGTTTCTTCCACTTAGAAATATATTTAGGTCGTCCACATATAGAGATTTCATTGTTGGTGATTCTATTTTGACTGCTATGTTATTTACGAACACTCGAGATCAAGGTATGGTGTTGAAAAAAAGTTCAGTTGTTATTGCAATCATCAGAGTAAAACAATTTTAAATATGTCTACAGCTTGGTATATTTAAGTATTTTACAGGCGAACTCAAATTTCCATGAAGACCGACTCAGCTAAAACAACTGGTTGCATCTACTGGAATAAAGAATACTTTTGATTTTTCTTTCTCGAAGGTGGGATAATAGGTCATCTCAAAATGTTTAGGTTTTTTGAGATGACCTATTATTCCACTTTCGAGAAGGAAAAATCAAAAGTTCCCGGAATAAAATTAAGGTTTGAAGAGAGCTAAGAAGAGTAACCAAATCGTTCGTGTTTGACCGGAGTAAAAAAAAATATAAAGCATTGTATCACCTCTGGCAGTGCTTTTTACTCGTTTTATGTCCGAAAGAGTTTATTTGAAAAAATACAAAAATTAAAATTCGTAAAATTTTGCAGTGAGGAATAGTGGATATTTGATGGAAACAATATTGGTAAAAATAGTCGTTCTTGATGGCAAGGCTTAATTGCTTTAAGATTCCTCGAGAATTGATTATAAACAAAATCAAAATGCCACACATAGAGCAATGAGACAACGTTCGCATGTTTAAGACAAGGTTCGAGTAAACAGTGGCGAAATTAACAGAATTGGTAAAAAAATTGGCGGTCTTTCCTTACCCTGTTTGCATGCCTGAATTCGCGCCATTTAACTATGATCTCTTCCTATCAATTTCCACGCTTAGGAAAAGGTGGAACTACGGCGAGTTTATTAATTCATTCTGTAGAAGTTGAAAAGTTATCGCCACTGGATGCACGGACGGACGGTAAGAGAAATAATAAATTATTGAAAAATACAACTTAAGTCACTTTTAAATATTAAAATTTTAATGAAACTATTTTTACAATTATGACTTTATGCAACAATAAAAAATACAATTTTAATTCATCAGTATTAAAATAATATGTTTTAGTCACGTTACGTAAAACAACACTACATGTGCGACCTTTTGGCTGCCAAGCGAAAGTAAATATCCGTGGTAGAGTTGTACAAATAAAATCCACGTTTTAATAAACTAAACCAAACTGTTTCATAACCTGGGCACAATTTACGCTAAGCACAATCAATGTGTGTCAAACATCCTTGTCCAATATGTCACAATGAACGTTCGATGAAAGATGGAAGAGTATTTTATATAAAATATTAAAAATAATTGTAAAATTCAATTTCCTTGGTCCACTTTAGGACATACGATTAAAAAGGGTAGCATATGCAATATTTGGCATAGCCATGGGTAGCAACCTAGGCCCGATACTTGAAGACATAATTATCACGCATCTATTAAGTACAGCAATACTACAATTTCCTTCCATTCACAATTAATTAAGGTTTTCAGTTGAGATAAAACAGCTTGACCAATTAATATCTTACAATTAATTAAGGTTTTCAAAAGGTGTGATTGAGATGGGAAGTTGTCCGAGTGGATCGAGGTCACGATAGCTCAAGTGGTAGAGCAGCGGCATATCAAGCCGAAGATCGTGGGTTCGAATCCCGCTCGTGCCATTGACTTTTTTATCTCAACTGAAAACCTTAATTAATTGTAACTACAATTTCCTTTCACATTACTCTTCTTCACTAAATAAGTAGATGATATATTGACAGCAGATCCCACAAATCAAATTCAAACTACATTAGATAAATTTAACATTTTTCACCCACGCACATGAAAAAAATACCGTTTTTAGATGGCACTCGTGATAAGACAACAGATGGCACATTAATCATAGATTGGTACCAAAAACCAAGAAACACTGATCGCTACCTTAACTTTACAACACACCATCCCCTTAATACAAAAATAAACATTACCAAAGAAATATTACACAGAATTATTTCCCTGAGCGAGGAATCTTTTCGCCACAAAAACAAGATATGCAAACATGTAAGATAATAACAATCACTATCTTAAACCCACAATCAACAGAATAATCAACAACTACTACTCAACACTATCACAGTCCACTATCTATGATAACAAAAAATCTAAACAAAATGCTACAGAACTTGCTACCCACCATTTCGAGCACCACACAATTTCGATTTCAACAATCCAAAAGTATTAAACAAAGAACGAAACAAGCATAAACATAACTTTTTATAAAGGTTTACATCAACGGAGATAAACACTGCATCAGTTACAGAACAGATACATGTAAATTCAGCCGCAACTACTATATCATAAATTAAATTCTATATCAATAATATATATGTAATACACAAAACATATAACACAACATATAAAACAATCATTACACTCCACACATAAAATAATTCCACCTAGTGTAAATACCCAAAAATTTATTTTTCTTTTCCCTAATAATCCCGACTATAATAATCCTCAAAGGATAACTAGACCCGAACGACAAACCATTTCCCTTTTTTCCATTGTTGGTCCCTTTCACCACGAACAAGCCAAAACACAGGAAAATGAATTTCTATCCCTACTTTCTTCTTCATTCCTTCAAACTCAAACAAGTACAAAAAAATATTTGCTCGACACACATCCATGGCACGTCTACACAGAAAACATACGCTTTGTCTGAGTACAAATACTTTGATTAAACCTAAAATTTGATTGTACATCATTGTATAAATTCATTTTCACACCTTACATGTATTTGTATAATTTAAACAAACTTTATATATCTCAGGCCCTGAAGATGATCTCACTAA